CAGTCCTCGTTAATCTTTGCCATCCTTAACGATCCTCATTCTGTTTTGATTTGTTCTTGCCTCTTAAGTGTTTTCTATCCTAGAACACGATCATTTTAACGTCTTATTTTATTTAAAGGCAGCTCTTTACGACCCTAAAAATGACTCTAAAAATCGTGACTCCTAAAATGTTGTTTATTCTCGGGTTGCGTTATCGTTCACACTATCGAAATTATTCCTATAATTTTTTGTAAAACAGCTATATTTCCTTGAAATACAAATGGTTTGTTTCGTTCTATTCCAGTGCGAAATATCGTATTCCAAACTCACATCTTGTAAAAGTATATACTTGTCTCAAAAACGGAAATTGTTTGAAATCATCAGGTGTTTAATTTTTTTAGTGTTTTTAGTTTCTGTGTTTCAATTCATACGTTCGTCCTATTATTACCATGCTGACTTATTTTATGACAGTTTACCTTTGATGCAAGTGAATATATGGAATATCATTTAACTGAACTGCAGAGAAAGATATAAAGACATGATTGATCATCGCAATTATATACACAACTTAAGCAGTTACGAAATTAAAGCCTGAAAAAAAATTCAGGCCAGAACAGGACTTGAACCCATGACCTCTGCGATACCGGTGCAGTGCTCTACCAACTGAGCTATCAAGCCAGTTGGGAGCTGGTCACATTGTGAGTTCGTAATTTACCCATAGATGGTGAAGAGTGCAAGTGAATATACGAAATATCATATAGTTGAACTGTGGAGAAAGATATGAAGACATGTTTTCATCTGTGACCAGCTCCCTGTTGGCTTGATATTATAAAAGAATAAAGGAATATCGCACCTGAATTAAATAACACGTTCTGCTGACAGTAGTCACTCTAGTGTAATTTGCTCAACAAAATTTTGAATTTTGAATTTTTTTCCTTGATCCGATCCGTGATCCGGTCCGATCCAGGTTTTGTCGACGCCGCTCAAAAAGGCCCACCAAACGCAAATACAGCATTTCGAGGCAACATATTGCTTGAAATCCAGGCCGTCAAAGACGTTTAATGATCCCAGGCAATATGTACCAGTAACTTGACACTTGTGCAGTCATAATATAACTAGTGCAAGCTTTATGATAACTACACTACTGACCTGCTCGACAAAATCTAGATTTAGCGAAGCCTAAAAGCGGAGCTCCTGGAGCCAGATTAACCCATTCACTCCTAGAACTTTTTGCCAAAAATGCATTTTTCGGACATTTTGGAGATTTTCAGGCTTGATATGGGCCAAATTAGCTCCAATCTACTCAAAAAGGCATTTGCAACATGACAACATGCTTTTCTTTCCACTAGCATCGCACTTTTCAGCATGCTTGCTCGGGCAGCGCAGAAATCAAAATTTTGAGATGTTTTTGGACGAGAAAGTGACCTACATCTTTAGGCTTTTCGTTTTTTTTTTTTTTTTTTTTTTCNGCTTTCTTTCCACTAGCATCGTGTTTCATGACATTGCTTCTTTGGCATGCGCAGAAATCAATGCCACTATGTCAATAGGCTTTTCGATTTTTAAATTTTTTTTTTTTGCCTTTCCTTTTTCTCCTTTTCTTATCTTTCTGCTGGGCTTGCTTCCAGTTCAAAAGTCTGAGAAAGCATCATTGACATGGGCAATTTTTACCATAGAGTAGCCACATGTAGTCGCAGGAAATTTTGCTGTGAGTTTTTCACTCAAATTTCTGAGCATTTTCGTGCATATTTCAGGCTCCATTGAGCTGATCACTCTGATCTGGGTATTATTGAAAAGATCATTTCCTGCAGAAGTTGAGTATAGATGATGCCAATTTTGGTCAAAGCTGATGACATCAGAAGTGGAGCAAAGGACAAGCGATAATTTTGATTTGAGTTTTTTAATTTTCCATAAATTTTTCGTTTTCTGTTTATATTCTTTGGCCTTCTTTTTTAATCCTGGGTTAGCACATAGTAACTTGCTAACCCGGCCTCGATTACACAGAGTTTACCTGGCTTGAGCCCACGATCCAACCAAAAACCAGTTCTTGGGCAGCGGTCAATTTAAAAAAAAAAAACGTGGACTCAGTGTGTTTTAAAACTGAGCCTGCAATATGGTTGTGTGATACTGGTCAACAGATACCTTGTTTTAACAGGTGTCAATGTGACCATAACATGGATGTTCAATATCAAAGATGTATGCTGTAAACCAAGGCTGCATACATGTCTCAGTCAACCTATTAGCCAGAGTATGGCAACCATGTTGTGCAACTTTTTCATTGTCGTGCGTTAACACACTCACGAGCAATACCGCTAGCCATGATAGTCATGAGAAAATCAATTCATGGGTTGGGTTTTCTTTCCAATATGAGTATGGTGTTCCACTTGGCGGCCCATCAGGCTGCCGGAGCTCCACTACGAAGAACTTGAGTATGAATGAACTGCTCTCCAATGCACCTATCACTAAGAAATGTATCTGTGTGACAATCTGTTAGGAGAATAAATAAAATTCTCTTTGCCAGAGCTATGACTTGCTTGTTGGCAGTATAGTAAGTCTTGATTAGTTTCTTTAGAGTTCCTTTGCTCGAAAGCATGTATTACGTTCATTACCATAAGCTTAAAAAATGTGCTTGAATGATTTATTTAAAGCAGTATTTCTTGGGAATCATCAGTGCCTTCATAGTAACAGTTGGCAGAAGTATGGAATAAAAAAGGGTCTAACCATCACAATATTCATAGTTACTGATTTTCCCTGTTAATCAGTTTGGTAATGGCAATTATTCCATTATTTATGTCAATTATCACCTCTTTTAGGTTGCTGAATTTAAAGAAGAGAAGTTCGCATTTCCTATATCAGTGGTAAGTTGATCATAAACTAAAGTTGTAATTTCCAATTCTGTAAATAATTTAAACTTAGCATGCAGTCAAGTCACACCAACAATCAACCAGTATCTGTAACAAATTTTTGAATGTCAGAAATTTGGTTTCTATCAACAAAATGAATTTGTACTAGTTCTCTTCACAGTCTACTAGCCTGTTCATGCCTTTACAAACCTTAAGTTTGCAGTATAAAAATTTAATAATTATACAGTTGAACCTCTATTAAGCGGCCACCCCTTATTAAGCAGCCAGTATTAAATACTGTAAATAAAACCCATATTAACCAGCTACTTCTATTAAGCGGCCACAGCCACCTTTTGGTTGTCCCGATGAGGGTTTTTCTATTGTTTTTACCCCTATTAAACAGCCACCCAAAATTTAAAAACTTTGTTTTGGAAAAGGTGATGGCAGATAACAGTCCGAAACTGAGGGTGACAAGTGATAAAAACATTCAAACACACATTTGTCATGACTGTCTTGAAGTGACACCATGTTCACTAAGAAATTAACCTGATGGTGAAAAATATTCAAAGTACACCAACCCCTATTAAGTGGCCAACCCCTATCAAACGGCCACCTCCCATTTCCCCGAGGGTGACCATTTAATAGGGGTTCCACTGTACTTACATATCTTTTTGTTTTCAGACATCAGTGACAATGAATGAAAGATTTTCTGACAGCGCAACCTCAAGCACATTTAAAATTGTTGGAGAAACATTAAACATCAGTAGCAGCGTATAAAAATGAAAACAGTTGGATTTGTTACACGTCCAAGCAAAGGAGAGGAGGGGACTGGAATAATTAATTAATTGACACCATGCACCAGTTTAATAACAGTCAACACATTTTGTTGATTGAAAGTTTCAGTTTGGAGTTGAAAGTACTAATTCCCCTTACTAATACAAGCTAGCATTTTATAAAAAATAATGTCAGTTATAAGAATTTGGTGGTAATATTGTTTTGTTAAGTAATTTATCCATTATCACGTCTGCCGATATTTTAAAGACATTATGAGGACTTGATTGTTTTGGTGACAAAGAGCTGAAGGATACATTACAGAATATTACATGATCAAGCAAGTAAAATAGCAAAAAAACAAAAAACATTTTACAGTAAAACAGCACAATGTTAGTGTCCTTTCAAAAGTCCCACATATCATTTTGTTATGTGTTGTTTTTGAATATCTTCAAATAGTGCACTTCTAGTCATTACAACCATACTTGCCAGTTGTATTATCCACTTATTAGCACCAAGTGGCAGCCCTACACTGAAAACCAACAAAGAAATATGCTTTCTTCACATCCTTGTTCTAAAATCAAGACAGAATCTTGCTCAGCTTGCAAAGAAAGTTATATCCAATAACCTGGGGCTAGTGGAAAGTGGATTCTGTTCTTCCCTTGCCCGATGAATCAAGTGAAGGTTTTTGGAGTAACATTTGGCAAAATTCAAATTACAAAGGTATTTTAAGAGTTCAAATTATTTTATTAATTTAATTTTTATTCTATCTATCATGTCATGTATCTGAGAAGCAGTATGCAGGTCTTTAAATGCTCACCTCTTACTGATTTACGGTAGTAGGGTTGTCCTGGGGAATATTGGCCTGACGTCGTGGCAGTACAGACCAAGCTGAATGAGGTACACACAAAAGGAGTGATGGCCAATATTTTCCAGTACAGCTTGAGCAGGCTACCTAAGGAAGTAGTTTATTATATGGCACACAGTTTTAGATGCAAATTTAGATTTGCCAGCTTTCAGAAACAAAAAAAATACATGGTTTATGACCATTTTCATGATCCCATTTCGTATGGAAAAATCCAGACCAAGAAAGAACCATCAGAATGCTTGGATTTAGCTCAAGACTCCCTTGCCATATAGTAAATGTAGTTATTTATAAAGAACAGATAAAGTGAAAAACAACTGAATAATATTGGAGAGAAATCTGTGCTGGTGATTCAGTGTCCATTGTGGGAGAGATTTTAACCAACCTTTTTAAATTCAAATTTGAGATAACATTAATCCATTTAAAAATTACTGTACATATTTTATTCCTAGATTTATTCATAATAGCTTTTGATATTTATAGCTCCTTTTTAGTACGAAAGCCTACTTTTTAAAGTTGTACATTCAAGAATTATATTAAAAATGAAAAAAATGATGTCAGTGTCACTGATTATGATGTCATTGTTTTTCCTTCCACATCATTGTAGAAAGGTAAAGTCTGCATACGAGCCTAGTGGCCCATAAAGCCGCTTATCTTCAGTTTGAAACAACTAGGAGTCTGATGGGATGCAAGTCCATCACAGAGTTTCTCCCCCACCCCCAGCAGTATACTTGCCAGTACCAGTTTATACACCTGGGTGGAGAGAGGCATTGTGAAAGTAAAGTGTCTTGACCAAGAACACAACACAATGTCCCCAGCCATGGCTCAAACCTGGACCGCTTGATCCGGAGGCGAGTGCACTAAACATGAGGCCACCGCGCCTCCACATTGTTATAGAAAACACCTTTTTATTTCACTATGATCCGAACTCGCAGATATCAATGGGAATTAGAAATGAAGGAAAAGCTGGATAACATCCAGCGGTATTAACCACTTGGCCCGGCCTTCTCAGACATACAAACTTAACTGCTAAAAAACGTTTGTTAAGACCATTTGATAGATGGTGTTGCTTTCTATTGCTAGGTAGTTACTGAGTAATTTGATCAATTTTTGGTCACTATAAGCCTATCAGATCATTAAAAAGCACCAGGTTTCCGCATCTTCCAGCATTAGCACAAAAACAGCTTCCGGCCGCTACCAATTTATTTTGGTGTCCTTGTAGTGCAACAATGAGACAACTTTTTGTAGAATGCATACCTTGTTTCTTCACGAAATCTGCAGACCTACTAAGAGAAGTATCATTTTGAAATCAGTGACACTGAGATGGTGAAAAGAACTTACAAAAATACTCTGCTGTATGAATGAAGGAAACCTGAAAATAATAGTTTACTCAGAAAAACACTAAAGAGATAATAAACCATAAAGAAACAAGGATTGTTAAGGATGGCGAGATTGACAGGGATTGCAAACAAATTTGAAAACATTAGGCTAAACTTTTCAAAATACCCAAACCATGACATAGCTCCTTTAGAATAGCCAACTTAGGAAAACCGATTAATCTTCTGCGATAGCTTCTTCCTTTTATCAGTGCACGAATAGACAAAGTCAATCTAATCATGTTACTTAATAGGTGCCAAGATTAAGAACTCGTTAGAGCAGTTTTCTCCTGAGTGTCGTAAAACCCACACCAAAGTTACCACTTCAGCCAATCACAAAGGACACAGACAATACAGTGAACAAACTTCAAGTAATTATATGTAGTTGACACAGTGCAGGAAAACGTGTGCGAGCAAGTCTCGATTGGTTTCAATTTTACTACTGATTGGATGAAAAAGTGGCACAAATTTTTTAAGCCAATCGTGTAGCAGAGTTGATGCAAAACCAATTACTTAAAGGACCAGGTGTGGTCAATCGATAAAATCGACATCAGAAATTAATCGATTCAATCAACAATTGCTAACGATTGATATCGGCAATTGATAACTCGCAGAAAAAATTCCCTATTGATTGTTAATTACAGATTCTTAAAATAATCGACAATTATCGCTCGCACTATGCAAAGATGGCTTTGTTATTGTGTAATTTAATAATACCTGAAACAACACGAGATGTTCATCTTCAGCATGCTACTAGATTATATTTTCCTTTTGGCCTACTCAGAGATCTATTCTTACATTTGTTTCCAAATGCAAATAACTGAAATCACTAGAACACCGACTTGACCTGTTGTTTATTTTGCTTCATCTTAATGCCAATGCTACAATGAGACTGGAGGGTTTTACGCTGCTTCTCTGGGATGAGCTTCTTCCGGTGTCTTAAACATGTAAAGCCCAAAACGTTTCTGCAAGTTATTTTTGTTCTTGTTATTTTGTCAATGATTGTAAGACACACAGGCTCTGATGAAAAATTGACTCAATAAAACCACTATAGACAAATTTTGTCAAACATTTTATCAGCTGTGTCACTTGTGAAAGGACAAAAATAATTTCTGATAACAATCGCCAATAGTCGCTACCAATTGATGAATCCATTGCCATCGATTACTATCGCCAATCGATATGATTGATATCGATTGTTATCGATTGTTATCGATTAATATCGGGTCAACATAAATTTGGTTTGTGGCACTTTATAAATTATCTTCCTACTAGAGCGAATATAATGAAATATTTCGACGTTGTAAATAAACAAAATGGTGTTTTAATTTCTAGGTTTTGTTGTTGACTGTCTCTGGAGATGCTAATGAATACAAGAGTTCATTTTGGAATAAACGAAAAAAGAGAAGTTACATGGGAGAATAAATAAGGTTTAAATAGCTACAAAAAAGCTGTTTTGAAAGTGTTGGAGCCCAATGGATCCCTTCTAAATGTTTTTTAGTCATTTTCAAATTGCTCAAAGATAATTTAGAGAAAATCGGTGACAAGATTAAGATACTTGCATTCCTTCATCAAAGATAAAAAGCTCCATCGATAGCTTTTGGAAAAAAATTGTGTCAGCTTTAATTTACAGAATACAAGCAACAGATCAGTAACTAATTCGACAGCGAAGCTGAAACTAAAATTCCATTCAAATTAGAACACCTTTCACAACGCTTTCATTTGAAAGTTTTATTTCGATCTCAGAAAGAATACAAAGCTGGATTGTTTAAATAAAACTGACCGATTTGAAATTTCAAAGGTAAAGGTAGAAGTACTTCATTTGAAATTTAAAACTGAAATTCATGATTTTAGGGGGAACAAAAAATTATTCAAAATGTTGTTTTCAGAATATTTCCACACAGAAGGGGAAGATTTCAGGCAGAAACTATCATCTTTCGAGCACGTAAATATTCTTAAAAAATAATATGGAAAAATCACTTCTAAGCGTTTCATTTTAGCCATCTGTTTAGCATAGTTTGCACAGTTTAAGGAATCAATCAATCCACTTTTTCTCAATCATAAATTAACACAAAGCTTGAAAATCCATTAGCTAAAAAATGCCATAGATCTGGCTTTGAATTATTAAATGAAAGTGTTCATTCAAGCCGCCATTCAATCACCGCTTGCCACTGAGTGGCCAGACAAGAACACAAAAAGCGTGTTTACCAGCTGTTTGTCTCACTCTATCACATAGTAACCTTTAACATTTTTTTTAATCGGAAAATCACAACCCTTTCTGTACCTTCATTTAACACGTCCCATGATCCACTAAAGGTTCCAATTTTTATGGTGCCGTTTGCCAAAAAGCTCCCTGGCAGAAATCTAGTAGCTGTGACGTGTGTCAATCTCCTGTCAGTTTTCCCTGCCAGTCATCTTTGCCATGGCAACAAAATACTGAATACAAACAAACACGAAAAAGTACTTCTGATGGGATAAGCAGGGACAGATCTGTTGACTGGGGTGGGTGATTGTCTGGAAGCCATTGCTGTTAAGACATAAAGTGAATCTTTGGGATTGAGTCATTTAGTACAGTGATGATCATTGTTGAAAAACTGTGATTTCAGTGATGACACCAGTGGAGTACAATGATTTTCAAAATATCTCTTTATTACCTTTGTTAGGTATTTTACAGAAATACCTTTTTTTGCTATGCTGCAAAAATAAATTAAGTTTTATCTAACAGTTTTGCTACTGGAGCCAAGAAAGAACAAAATAGCCCCTAATAAAAGGGGATAATGGGTTTACAGAGTTATTCCCATATAGGCTTTATTCCCGACAGAATCCTTATCAAGTTGTTTCCAGATCAATCCCAGTTTCGAAATCCCAGGGGTGTCTACAAATAGCCAGCCCTGTGATGTGGATTTTACTTACATGTACGTGTACAGCACAAACAGCTTTCATCCTCCACAAAAATCACACATCCGCAGAAGAACTGGGTACCAAGTCTAAAAACAACTTTAACGGGAGTACCTTGGGAAAAAGGTCCTATATGGGGGATTTTCTCTGTTACCCTTCATCTTCTTTTGCCCATGACCTTTTCTTTTTTTTACTAGTTTCCAACTTTCAGTAACAAAAATGGTTGGTTGCTCTTTTCCTTGTTTGATTCCGACATCTCTAGAACTTGCAGTTTTAATCGCTTTAATGTCCTGTTCCAACAGCCCATAATTTTCCACACTGTTTGGCATTCAAATGAGGCTTTACTAATGTTCTCTTTGCTTTGGCCTTGTCAACCCTGGCCTGAGTTTTCTTTAGGAATTCTTGGGGTTTGTCCTGCTCCATTTCATATCCAACAGTTTCCTCTGAGTTTCCAGTACTTGATTTATTGATTGTCTTCAGGGAGATCACTGTTTGTAGAGGAACTTTCTTGTGTCTCATTAGACACAGACAATATCTAAGTGGCGAAGTAAAACAAAACAGCAGAAAAAGTTAAGTAAGTATTTACTCCTGCATCGAGCCCAGTGGCCCACCAGGTTGGCACTTATCTCCAGTTCCTGTAGCATGAAATGACTAGGAGTATTTCTACTTCCCCCTGGATGGGATGCTAGTCCATCGCAGGGTTACCCCCATTGGCGGTACTCATTTTTACTCCTTGATGGAGAGAGGCACTGTGAGAGTAAAGTGTCTTGCCCAAGAACACAAAACAATGTTCCGGCCAGGGCTCCAACCCAGACCACTCAATCCAGAAGCAAGTGCACTAACCATGAGGCCACTGCACCTTTACAATTTACTCTTCTACACAATGTTAATTATATATATTCAGTTCAAATCAGAATTTGGAAATGTTGGTTTTGGAGATTAGAGAGGTGAACTAAAAGAACACATCTTAGAGCAAGTAGAGACTGAACAACAATCTTTTAATAACGATGACTGTTGATGTGACGTTCATATCGGTGCAGGACAGAACTAACCTAGTTTCAGTACATGCACTGGAATAAGGACGTCATACTGAATAGGCAATATTCGTATTTTCAGAATTGGACTGGAACTACAATCATGGACAAATGTCTTGGGACAAATTTGCACTTTTGGCACTTTTGAACACAAGCCAGACAAGAACACAACTTCACCTGCCTAGCCTCTCCCCCCACCCCACATACAATATTAGTCCCTGCAAATTCTCCTGATTTTCAACATTGTATTGGGTGGGGAGAGGGAACAGCAACGCGCTTTTAAAAGGATAGCAGCACTTTTTTCAAACTTCATTTGTAAAACACAGATAAGTTGTTACGTTACACAAGTGTCCCAAGGACTTTTGTCCACGATTGTAGCTTGCAACTGAGGCTCATGCAGGGAGTCTTTGTAAAAGCAAATAACAAATCTCTTCTTTAATGATATTCCCCCACAAGAGCCTCCATTGCAAGCTAGTTCCAGTCTAATACCATGAATACCAATATGGCCTAATTATTCATTCCTTTTTCGGCTACCATTTCAATCGCTTGCATCTACAACTTAAATTAACCTAAATTTGCATTGTCCAACTCGAATAATACTTGCACAATTTCTTTGTGTACTATGCTACATGGAAACAGTGAAAATTACAAAATCTCTTAAAATCTGGCGGGTTTCCAACATACAGCTTCATGCACGGAATTACAAATTAACATTCAAACAACCAGCAAAAAACTCAAATTAAAATTTGTCTTGACTGAGTCACTTACAACAGGAAGACATTATTAGTTTACTGTAGATGGTTCGACTCCGCGTGGCTCAACATTTGTGGCAAATGATTCATGAAGTCTATCGTCACTAATACCAGACTGCACAGTGCCAGAAGATAGACTGCCTGAAGAAACAGATGCCACGGATCCAGTCTCCTCACGGCCTGATACAGGACCTTGAAAAACAAGTGAAGTGTAAATTTAGTACTGTACACAGAGCCCTTGCTTACTTACCAGTGAGAGAGGGATCTAGGAAAGATGTTGATACAACGTTAAACTAAAATTAAGCATTTTTGTTATCGTACATTTACCTCAACAAAATATTAAGGCTTGAGGGAATATTTTCAACACAAATATTAGCAAAAGAAAGAACGATGTTCTGACATCGTCGGATGTCAATGTCAAGTAAATGTGTAGCTTAGTTTTTGCATCATAAAAGGATTTACAAAGAAGACTCGTTTTGAAGAAGAGGCAAAAGACAACAATAGTCCTTCATTTAGAACATCACATGGCCAATCTTGTCCAATCAGAATTGTTAATTATTTAAAGGCTGCTGCGCACTAGCCAATGCAGATTTTTTGTCGGGGTCAAATCAGGTTAAAATTTGTCGGGCCATCAGCTTGCCGTACATTAGCCGACTTTTTGTCATGACTAACCATGTCGAGGCTTGGGGCTGAGTCATCCAAAATCAAGATGGTGCCTATTCCACTGACGTGACTCTCATGACCTTTCCTAATTGGTTGAGGCACGTGTGAGCTCTGACAAATTGTCTTGGTCCACTGCGCACTAGCCGACAGGCCTGACAAGACGTTTTGAGATCTAGCACTCTCAGATATTGCCTGACAAGCCCTGATCTTGTCGCAGACTTGTCTGAGTTCACCACACACTAGCCAACAAGTGAAGATTTTTTGTCGAATCGGCTAGTGTGCGGCGGCCTTAAGAAATAGAAAGCATGTATCGTGTTTCTATCGAGTTTTAGTTTAAATCTACTTATTGGCTACGCTACTCACTATCTATTTTGTGGTACAGAGTGAGTAGTGTAACTGTGATGGAGGTCGCTTCTTTGCGCTTTCAAGGTGTCTGAGAATTTAGATAAAGTTTTGAACGACTAGTAGGTTTATAGTAAAACAATTAGAATCGCTCTGGATTTCTATGCGTGATAGTTGACTCGGGCTGCACCCTGACAATCCAGCTCACGATCTAATTGTTTAATAGAAACACGAGTGGAAGTTTGGAAGAACAAGAAAGCTGTGGGAACACGAGCTGACAGGCGAGTGTTTCCACAGCTTTCTTGAGTTCTCCCAAACTTCCACAAGTGTTTCTACAACTCAATAGAAGTAAGGAGAACATGTTTCCTATTTCTTTTAGAAAATATCAGGACGAAAAAAAAGAAACCTTGTTTACTTTGATCATCAAAATGTGAATTCTCTTTGCTTGAGCCATCGTTACATCAACAGCTCGTGCTAGTTCTGTGTTTCTATCGAGCCATAGAAACAAAATTTTAAACCAATCAGCGCACATATTTCTTGGGCTAAATTCTAACGACCATTATTAGTTACATTCAGTCAACTGAAGACATGGACTAACCTATCTTTTCAGAGGCATCAGGGAACACATTGTCCGTCCCCACCTCCCCTGGGATGTCACTATCTTTCTCTAAAATTCCTCCACCAGATGACAAGGTGTGCGATCGTGAAAGTACAAACCACTGCTTTCCACCTGAGCCCCTAGTCCAGCGTGACCCCGATGCATTTAAATGGGGCTCAACAACCCCAGATGATGTGGTGCTTATTCTCATGGGAACACATGCGTGAGCAACATCCTGGGCCCCATTTGCTTTTGAGGACACAAAACTGCTAGGAACATAAAGCTTATCTCTAGATGAACCCCTCATGTTAATGTTCCCTTCTAAGCCAATTAATGACAAATGTCCAACAGAGGAACCAAATCCTGCATCTGCAGCCATTTCAGGGCCATAAACAACATGCTTACGGCGGCCCCATGAAGGCAGTCCCTCTTTGGCACCTGATATGTCACGTGACTTAAGGGATGTGATGTCAGATTCATCACTTGTTGACGTCAATCTCGTCATCATTTCCGTCAGCTCGGACAAGGAAGACAAAGTTGACCCTGCACTACCAGTCGCACCTACTCTAGCAGCTTCACGTGGAAGTGACATGTACTCTGTACTAGATCCATGACTCCAATCACTCGTTCTCAAAGGCTTTGAAGTGTAACTGGAAGTCACAACCGTAGAATAAGATCCGGTGGTTAACGCCTTTTCGAAGGCGCCAAGCCTCTTTGAAATATCCTGTAATCTGTCCTGTCCTATAAATCCTGTGGAATTTGCAATGTAGTCCTGATTTTCCTTATTTGTGTCTTCTATATTCCTTTCTAGATGCAAAGGGACCCTATCATACTGGTCTGAAATATAAGGGCTCGTTCTCACGAGAGGCCCTGTGGGAGGCACATTTTTTCTCATGCTTCCTGAGGCCTGAGACGTTTGATCTTCTGGACCTTCTAGGGCTGTTTTCTTATATATTAAGTCACTATAACGCCGGATGCGGTTTCTCTGCGCTTCAAAAAGCTGACGTTCTTCCTCGATCTTTTGATAATAGTAGTCTACATACCCTGGAGAATAACCTGAACGAGCAATAGATGGTTGAAAAACAGAAGGCTGTGACACTCTTGATGGCACTGATCCACTGGAAGAAGCAACCGTTAGAGAATTTCTGCCAGGGACCTCTGTTGCAATGCCACTGCTTAATACAGTAGATGGTAGAGCACTGGAGGTGCGAGTGGAAGTTTCGGATCCTGAGGCTAACACCGAATATTGTTGAGGAATGGATGACAGTGGTCGAGAGAATTCGTTTTGAGAAATCTTCGTAAGAAACGATGCTGCAGTTGTTACGCTAACAGTTTTGCTGACATCAGAGAAACGTGACTGAATTTGAGAGGTTAATGGATATGCATGGTCAGATTCACGAGAAGATGAACCAGATTGAGTGGTGCGTGACATGGTCGCTGTCACGCTAAGTTCAGAGGGTAATGTCATGCTAAGTGAAAGAGTCGATGGGGTTGAAACATTAACAAGCTCGTTGGATTGAAGGCTTGAAGCGCTTCCAGAAGATACATCTTTCTCTGGAAGGATATGGTCACTTCTGAATGGTACATCTTCCAAAGGTACTCTGCTAAGCTCCTGTAAAACGTTCCTTTCTTTCTGCCGTAGTTGAGCTGCTTTTTCCGCCGTGGCACGTGCTGTTTCCAATGTTCTTTGGAATTCTGATATTTTCACAGTTTCATCGGAAGTTACGCTTCCCAGTGTTGACGACTCCAGTGTCTCAGATAGCAGTGGGGACCCTTCTCTTGATGAGCTCTTGGGGACCACAGTCTGGAGGGCTGTGTTGAAAGGGGCTTGTAAATGGAGGGGGCTCTGTTGCACACCTTCTGGTTCCTCCAAAGTCTATGAGAAAAAGAGAAAAAAAAGTTCAGCTAAATTCAATGGCAGTTTTTAATTCGAATGGCATTAAAACAAAGTAGTTTTGTTTAAGGCTGAACAGCAGAGTATGAAAAATAACAGGTGAGAAAACAAAACTTCCTCTTGCACTTTCATAACTCGATAAATAATCTACCGTTACCTGCCTCGAATGTCAAGGAGTTCAAAAGATACTCCATTCAAGAACTTCCTGACAAACGTACCGTGTCTGGAAGAGATGAGGCCCCTTCATAAGGGGATCCGCCTAGGGATGGCTCTTCCAAAGACATTCTCCCTGAGGGCCCTAAGTCAGGGACTAAGGGCCCCCCAGGCACATCAACATGTCCATAAATATCAGCTAGCTGTCTTTGGTATTCTTGCAGCTGCTGTTCCAACTGTTGCTGAAGGAGATTTTGTTGCTGTAGTTGAAGTTTTAGTCTTTGTTGTTCCAGTAGAGCCTCCTGTTGGCTTAGTTGTGCTGTGGGCTGAGATCAGATTATTTATTAAAAGTAGTCAAGACTGCAATGAGACAATTGCCATTTAAGAAAATTACACGTAAATGAAACTTATGGTGTCTTCAAGGTTGAGCATTTTCTTTTACGTTGGAGAGATTCAACGTTTGCATTCGTTACAATGTAGAATATTGAATAACCGGAAATGCCTCTTCACATTCTCATACACACTTATAACTTACTCCTGCAATTTTCATCCAATTGAAATTCTCTGGTCAATGCAGATGTGCTTGCCATTTTCTATACGTAACAGGTGCATTTCTACTTTTCTTGTAAGTTAGATTTATTGTTACTTGCCATCATTCACGACAACACAATCAGTAGCAAAATTCAACAGGTCAATACAAAACAACGGCAATTATAATCATCAACAGGACAAAGCTTGGACACTGCTTGTGCAGCAACCCTCACTCTACCCTCCCTAGACAATACATACTGCTCTTCCTATGGGTGTGGTAGTGCGTGACCTTTGCGCAGCCTCCAATGGATGAAGTAATGTCCGTGCCCCGTCCACAGCTGGATGCGACATGCCACTATCATGGTCCGGGACAGGGCCTGGAGGCTTATTCTCTACCTCAGCTGCGTCATGTCCACCATCTTCTTCTGCTTCCTCCTCCACTTTAGACAATTCTGCATCTGCAATTTGCTTAGGAGTAGTAGAGAATGGAATGGTCTCGGGAATCCTGCGAGTGATGAAATTTAAATAGGAAGGAAGCAAAGTTATTCAGCTTTAAGTGTCTATGACAGATTTTTAAAATTTTTTTGATGGAATCTACACGAGATCTCAATATGGAAATTGAAAAAATAAATTGGATATCACTGTTTTTTCACCGTGTTTTAGGTATCTGAAAACGAAAAATTTTGCTTCCGGTTGGTCAGAAACTGACTGGGGTGGAGGCCTGGGACTAGTCAGGCTGTGGTGTCAAAACAAGAACATAGGCCGACAAATTTTGCGAACCAAACAAATAGAAATGAAAAAACTAAGTGATTTCCATATCAAGATCTCGTGTAGATTCCATCAAGCCAATAAAAAATATCTGTCACCTACACTTCAATTAAGAGGCTTCTGTCTGGATGCAGTGTGGGAAATTTAACCAAATACAAACATATCAATACAGACATAAAACATAAACAAACCTGAATTCTTGTTTCTTTAGTGGAAGTTTAGTTGAAGGCACAGAATGAGGGATGCCTGGCAAGAAATGCCATAAAAAGTTTCAAAACTAATTGTTGTAGGGATCCTTCAACGTTATGATTGCCAAATTTAATAGCGCAATCTTTCCAAGATTTTCTCGATACGTTTCCGTTCTGTTTGCAATATTTTTTTTGTTTGTTTAAAAGTGATGTTACACGAGCTGATTTTTAATGCTGGTTTTTTATCAATGTTACACGAGAGAACTTTTGACACAACTTTGTTGCGGCAACGGTAGGCAGTGCTATATTATACGAGACGATTTTTAACACAACAACATGCAAAATTCAGGCAGCAATGTTGCAAGTTTTTTAATTGCCTTCAAAAACCTGCAACATGTTACCACAACGAAATGTCACATTAAAAGTCGCCCTATGCGCCATGTTACACGATATCGATTTTTAACACAACATTGTTACAATAAAAATCAATGTTAAAAATCAGTTCATGTAACATCACCTTCTCAACTACAGATTTAAAGCAGCTACTACCATCCAATGTTTTGATCATCCCTAAACACTTTGACATCATATAAATACACCGACTCTAAATCTGAAAGTGAGCTTTTCCAAAGTCGCTTAATTTGTTCTCAACTCCTAGTAAACACTAATAATCGCTGACCTGTTGTTCCAGCAGCCTGTGGTTGAGCTTCTTCAGTAGGTGGTCTCCTCCTCCACTGGTCACGCTGTCTCTCAATCCTCTGCAAAAGGCGCCGTAATGGATCTGTCGAGAATTTTACAAGATGCAAAGCTGTCACAAGCCTAGTGTTTAAACATCTGACATGTGTTGCCCCTCCCCGCCCTTGTGCAACCTTGACAAAACAGCTTACGGTTGTCAGTTGAGTAAGGCGCGACAGAACATTGGTGACAAGGTTTTGCATTAAAAAAGGGTGTTGTCACAGGTAACTTTCCTTGTTTCCAATGATAAGAATATCAACAGCCGTACGTCTCCTACAATTTTGCGAGCTTTGCTGATAATGACATCAAAGGCTGGTATAACGGGGAGGCCGGGGGATTTGTGCATGTGCACCTGGATTTTACAGCCGGGCTTCCGATTTCAATTCATTCAGCGTGTTTTTTGCTGCTGGACAGATCTTGTTAAGCTTTTCTCCCAGCCCACCCATCCCCCTTTGGCTTCATGGTAGGTATGTGGTAAGTATCCTGTATTTCCACTGTTTTTTCAGAGTGATGGTGCCTGGTGCTTGCCACACACAGGGTTGCTCTCAGGCTCCACCATCCTTTCAGGCACCATTCCTGAAGCTCATTGATTGTTAATGAGTTCAAGCTGCCACTGGGAATGGAGCCAGTTGTCCATGGCAACAACACAATTTGAGTTAAAATCTGGTCACCAAACTTCCGTTGTGCCTTACCCAACTGATAATATTATTGTATACTGGCACGTGAGTATATCTTGCCAGTACACAACACTGGAAGGGGAAAGGGAATACAAACACACATTAGGTCCTAGGAGTTATTGCCATGGTCAAAACCAAAAGGTTTTTTTTATGAATCGTGTTTCAACTAAACTTGACCAGCAGATTTCTGTTCCGCCATCTTACAGGAACAGTCATGCTCATGCCATACCACTGTATAGGATCTATGTCATGTTACTGGTTTTGCACAGTGTAGTGTGACCAGCGTGACTGAGACAGCATGACAGTAAGGCTAAATGAGCTAGGTCATGTTTTCCCACTAAAGAAAATGCCTGTGACTAAATCCTTAATGGGGTCTTCCTGGTTGATGGATCAACCTCCAGTCTGCTAAGCGTTGCAATGAAAATTACTTAATACCTTCAGAGGGTCCCTTGGGAGCACTATCCCCAGAAGGTGCTCTTTCAGGGTCTGCTTCTGGTCCGTCATCATGCTCCACTCTCTCTGAGCCCCTACCAGGAACAATGGTACTGGGCACACTTTGTGGTGGCTTTTGATCAGAAATAACACAGTTGATGATCAGGTAAATAATTTTAATTAGGAACCGTTTTGTCTTTTATTATATCTCTCAGTTACTATGAGCACTTTGATTGGTCAATTTAGCAGGCCATACAGTAATCTACTGTACAGCCTGCCAAAATTTAACGCTGTTTTTGTCGCCAAAATGTTTCTAAACTTTTCATCATCACCATCATCATCATCTGTTCCCATTGTGCCATGAGGTGCATAAGGCCTTATTCTTAGGCCTTGTTCTTTACTTTTAGAGCAAATAAAAGTTTAAAACTTTCTTTTACTTTAAATTTCAAATTTCAAATTGACTTGTTTTGCTTTTGATGCATGTCAAAAATTTGATGCCATCTCACGTGAATAGAAATCCTTCCCGAACCCATCACATGCACAGTAGAGATATAATTAATATCTTGCTAATAAATATCTTATTACTACCCCAAGTGAAAAAAAAAAGAAGGGGAAAAACTTGGTCCTTGACTTACAGCACAGACCTCAAACTCAGTTTGTGAGAGGTATTTACATGTTAAAATTACTTCCAAAACCTAACCATTGGCAAATTCACAATCTCATTGGCTAAGCAGATGGTTTTTGCCATCAAGTAAAGGGCACTCAAAACACGGACTAATTGTTAAAGGGCTCCAGTCAGCTACACCTTTGTTTTTTTTTACATGACCTTTGTTTTTCTTTACATGCAAGAGTTTGGCTATTATATTTTATTCATGGCATGTCGAAACAAAGGAAATCACTGTGAAACTACTAAAGATAATTAAACATACTTTCAGGAACACAACTCACAGTAAAGTAAAAAGATTTCGCTTCACCATGCAATACCAATAATTTCGATGGCATCGAAAATAGTGGATGCTGACTAGAGTCCTTCAAGTAGCAATAGTGCAGCACCTTTTTCTTTCCATGCTGCAAAACATGCTGACTGTCACTCTGGTGAACTGTGAGCAAGATCTACAAAACACACAATAAATATACAAACCTCTTTGGCCTCCTCAGATTCAGAAGCACTCTGATCACTCTCTGTAATAACACATACCAGAAAATGTTTCTTGATTATTACTCAATATTTACACTAGATTTATGGTCCAATTGTACATAAATTTACATACTATATGATTCTATTAATGTTGCTTTACACATTGGATTTGAGGGGTGGACCTGGGGCCCCTTTCTCGAAGGTCCTGAAAAGTTATTGCACTCGAAAAGCTGTAGCAAAATCTCAAACCTTATGATCACAGAGCTGTTTATTCACACATTCTTAATAATATGCACAGAGGTTCCCTTCATACAAGACGTTTCAGGCATATAAACCTTTCTGTTTTCAGATACAGGTCAACTAAAAATAGCTTTATGGGCCTGAAAAGTTTTTCAGAAACGGGCCCCAGGTCCGGCCTTGTGATGCGTTCATAGACATGATATTTTACTCTCTCTAGTCAATAGTTGTCTCTACCCAGTAGTATGAGTCGATACCAGAAAACTGTACTGCCCAGGTCACTTTGAATATGCAGTTGAATGAACCATTATGAACTTGACTCAATTTTGATAACAGATGCAAAATAATGTCAACTGTGAAAACAAAAGTTAACTTTGGTAAATTTCTAAAGAACCTATTCAAAAACAAACACAAGGATGACATTCACCTGACTGTAAACTATCTTGTGATGCTGGCCTTAAAGACTCAGAAGGTTCAAGGGTGACAGTCAGGTCACCTGTGTAACCTAGCAAGAGAAGATCAGTTATGAAGTCAATGAACTTCAAAGTTGACTTGGGACAAAATGATTACAACAAGCTTTAACAACACCCTTAAGAGTCAGGTCACCTGTGTAACCTAGCAACAGTAAGATCAGTTGTGAAGTTATCAAATGTCAAAGTTGACTTGGGACAAACCGTTTACAACAAGCTTTTTCAACCCCTTTACAAGAGCTTAGCTCAGCTGAGATTAGCAAGGACAATGAAGTAGGCACATGTGGGACCAAGTCCTAAGTGCACTCATACTGCAACCCTCCAAGTTAACTTTTTTCCTTAGTGGCCATTTGGCCACTGACTGTTCAGGTTTGGTCACCAGTGAAAAATTTTAGTCGCCAAAATATATACATATATTAATAATTAATTAATAATAAATAATAATCTTATTATTATTTAATTGTATTATTAATAACATTTTCCTTGAACCACCAAGTAAATTGAAGTCCCGTTCAGTGAAAGAACTAACTAATGTTGATTCAAATATGCTTTTATTGGAATGATTGATGATCAAATGAAAATGAAAATTAAGAAAAAAAGTCGCTTCACAAAACACAGAAATATTTGTGTATATCAATTGTAATTCACACAACAGGAGCAATGCAAACAACACAGATTATACCAAGTTAAAATACCCTGGAAATACATCTGGATGTTTCTCAAATATATTGTGGATCCTGTCACCGTCGAGCTTTCCAAGCTTTTGCAATTCCTCTTCTTTTAGATGGCAAATGACCGGATTGCGTGTGTTGTCTCACGCTTCCAGGTAAAATCGTCACGTGCCAAAGTTCAGTCGAGTGGAACGAATTTTGTCGCGTCCCAAGCTCAACGGAATGCAATTCCTTGATCTTTGTTTACCATGTAACATTTCATTTTATTCAGTCTCCATTTCTGTTGGTTAAAATCCCACAACAACTGGCTTTGCAAAGTGAATTCTTAATGCTCAGAACGTTTTTCTTTTCGCTCCGGATGATAGTCCGCTCAAGCTCCTGACACATAGGTCACATTAATTTTAGTCGCCGAGCTGGCGACTTGCGTTCTAATTTAGTCGCCAGCTCCAAAATTCTAGTCGCCATGGCGAGTAAAATGGTCGCAACTTGGAGGGTTGTACTGTCACTAGGGGCATCGACCTACAGTCTAGAGATCTAAATAATGCAAAACCAAATACTTTTGGCACTCAAGTGGGAACTGATCTATGATTTAAAAAACCAACTGATCAAACCTGTCTGCAGCATGTACATGTCTTCAAATGCTTGCTCCAAGTCTCTCTGTCGATCCTCAGCATCTTCCAATCTTTTGTGAGGTGGTTGAAATATACGTACCTGCAGAGATAAAAAAAATGGTATTAATGACATCTTCATTTTGAAGGAAACTGTAAACTAGTGGTGGATATTGGTAATAAGTTAGTTAATGTTGTATTTTGTACAAAATGTTACGAATAAAAGTAAATCATTATCATATAGCTTATATGTATGTTAGTATTGTAAGTAGTATTAGTGTTATATAAGTCATGTTACGGTGTAGTAAGTAATGCACAGTATTGTAAACTTGTAAGTAATGTCAGTACTGTAAGTGGCATTAGTACATGTATGGTAAGAATTGTTGCTGTTGTAAGTAATTTTGTTAGTAAAGTAAGTAAGGTTAGTATTGTAAATAAATGCATCAAAAAACCTCCAGTGCTCAGAGCAACTTCACTGCTCAATGCTCAAAAATCACCATATTTTCGCATTTGCTGTGCAAACAGTCATGGTTTTTGTAATTAAAAAAAGAAGAGACTGACACAAACAGTTATGAAAAACAAAATCCCGAATCTTTCATGGAGAATTACCGGGATTCTTGCCACAGCTTCTTGCCTTCTTTGACGATCATGTCTCTCTAAACTGTCAAGCTCTTCCATCAGTTTCTTGTGATCCTGTCAGATTACACAGGAACATAAGCAATCAAAGCAAGATGAAGATATAGAATCTCCCCAAACAATGTTAATACACTACCAAAGGTATGGTACCAAAGTACACTTACCATCTCACTCATAAGGTCCCTAGATTTGGAAGAGACTTCAAAATTACATGCCTAACAATAGTAATATGAGCTACAGTTGACCTCTGCCAATAGTAAGTGACTGAAAAAGCATATAATTATCCAACTCAAGGGTAAATAATTTGAGTCCAAGGACAAGACATAGTTTGAGCCCAAGATAACCATGTTTAACATCTGTGCAACCTTCATTTAACAAACCTCTATATAATGAAGTTCTTGGTGTAACGCACAATATTCTTTGCCCCAATAATAGTAAAATAGTAGGGTTCTACTGTATTGACTTATTACTACCAAGTGTTCTGAACTTCTTACTTCTTCCAACTGCAGTTGTGCCAATGCATGTTTGTGTCTCAGTCGAGCCTTCTCTATCTGTTCTGCTTTGTCACGCTGCACTTCCTGCCATATAAAAAAACAATACATCCAAAGTGTTACATCAGTTTCCTCATAACTAATAACCTCCATACCAATGTGAACATCTTCATACATGTGAGGGGTAGGGTGGGTGGAGGTCTCTCCAAGTCTTCTCATAGTTTTTTTGGGGGGGCGTTGCACAAGGTCATTTCCAATTATAACAGCTACTGAAACCTTGCCAGGGAGATACATTGTGCGACAACCAATTAGAGGCTGTAAGATAAAAAAGTGATAATGTGTCAACCCAAAAATCCAAGCCCCAAACATCTGTACCTCACATCTGACAAGCAATTTTGAACAAGCACACGAGTGCCGCTGATTGGCTGAGTGGAAAGCAGCTCACAAGGGCTATTCAATGTAAACTTTGGCAACTATCCAGGATGGAACAAAGATAAGCAAAATAAATGTACATAATCCAGAGACAGAGAGGCTGTATCTGTATCTGGGTTACAAGCTGTACAAGCTAATAAATAAAACAAACAATTTACCAGTTCAATCACTAACATCACTAACCTCCATAATAATCTGTATTCTTTCTTCCTCATCTTTGGCAGCCTCTCGGGCATCCTCCTGATAGAGATAATTTCAAATCATATTGAAACTTTACCCTTTATAAATAACTACAAAACAAATTACAATAATGGAGGTACAATACAACCTAATATTGGGCATTGTAAGATCGCAACACCTTGAAATTTTTGTTATTTATACGTCCAGTAATTTAGCAAGTATTGTATTGTATAATGTGTTGGAATGCAGTGCTGCCACTGGTAGCTTTGTGTAATTTATTCAAATATTTTTGGCAGTTGCAGCAGTACAATATATTAGATAATTTTGCCGTTGGCAGTGCATTTTAAGTTTTCACAGTGCAGAGCACAGGTGGTTTATCCAAGCGTCTGGTGCAGTTTGTCATATCTTGGCCACAAGTTTGTAAGCAGTCCCAGCATCGCATTATTAATGTAAGTCTGTATTAGTATCACAAGTTTTAGTTTGTGTTGTTTTCTCTTTGTTTAAGTTTGTTTTGTTAGTGTTTATTTCAGTTTTAACCACATTGAATCACCACATTGTATCCTCATATGGCATCAACGCATGGTACCGCTTGCATTGCGCTTTGTTCCACTTATTTGACCATACTAGCATCAGGATTGTTTCTAAACAAGTGGTTGATCGCCAGAAAATAAAGTGCATGTTAGAAATATTATCGGCCGCTGGAGATGGTTTTGCGTCTTTTTCAATTGGTAGTTTCAGGCATTGTACAAGTCTCTGGAATCTATTTGTTACTCTGTACTTCACTCTCACAGTGCCTCTCTCTACCCAGCAGTACATAAATGGATGCTGGTGAACTGTTGGAACTTAACCTGACAAAAATGTTGGAGGGTAACACATAATGGACATTTTTTAAGTGATTTAAGTGATCTCATGCCTGGGTAGTAGGAGAACTGAGTTGGAAATCCAGCTCAAAGCGCTACGGCAGGTTGGAGAGAAGCACTTGACACACTTCCAGTAGAAGCGTACAGTATATATTGGCTGCTTATTAGTAGAATATTCGATTCAATATTTCAAGTAATAACTACTTGATGTTTAATACCTGGTTTGGATCCAAATCTCTTTCTACATGTACAGAAGGGTGCAAATGAAAGCGTGATGCAGTGAAGCTGTCCAGCGTTTTCTGGTCGGGAACTGACTGATCTGGGGGTGTGTAAAAAATTATATTCTTAACAGAAACAACCCAAGGTAATCTTTGGTTATCAATGATGTTTTCTGGACAAAAAAAATCCCATTCAGCAAACAAATTGGTATAGGATAGGAAAATGAAAATACACATCAGTGCCATCAACAAACTATATTTATTTAATTTTACAAATTTCTTAAAATTAAAAATTATTTTAATATATAACATTAAAAAATAAAGTAATTAATAATTGAACTGTACCTTTCCTCAGATACAGGTCCTGAAAAATAATTTGAGAATTTATTAATCAAAATTAATTCTAGTATGTCATTTACTTTGACCAATTGAAAGCTTTTTTACAACAGGAGAAAAACAAAACAAAACAAAGCATGTATACTAAGTGAATGAAATTTAAATAATCAATACAAATTACACTGTGGGATACATTTTTAATTAGCAATTGCCTACAATGCACCTTACCCCAATTGGATCCACAGGTGGAGGTAATGCTGCAATTTTTGCTGCACGTCGTCGTTCAGTTTCTAAAGCTTTTTGCCTAAAAATTGAAAAACAATATAATTATACACTATATATTAATAATTTTTAAAACTACAAGGCTGTCAAAGAGGCAGTCAAAGAATTTTTTGCCATTTTTTTCTAGAAGATCCAGACAGCTTAATTTACTCATGATTCTCTGTTATACCTGGCTTCAGCACGATCCCGCTCTGACTGAGTACTCTTGGCCCTATCATACATCAGCTGAAAAATTCATTCACAATAATTTAGAATTGGTACATTAACACTCCTAAAGCCCATTCACAACAAACATACATGGGTGATAGGATTGTTGAGACACCCCATGGTCCCCCTTGCCCTCTGTGGTTACAGAAAGCAAAATTACTACTTTGGAATGAAAGATCATAGCTGCATACATACATTTAAAATTGAGTAAATGTAGTCAGGGGATGACATAATCGATAAAAGTGCCATGTTTTGTAACTGATTTGTATATTTTAGCAAGACGTTTCGGCTGACTCTTAACCTTCATCAGTATACAAAAACCGACCGACCATCATCTGGAGTAGTGTACAGAATCAATTGGAGTCAGTGCAATTTTGTATACTATGGCCAGACCGAAAGATCACTGAAGATGCAGGTTTCCAAGCACAAAAAGGCTGTCTTGATGTTCGATCATGACTCCAAACTTGCGTGCCATGTTCATGAATGTCATCATCACATGGATTTTGAAAACGTTGAAGTTGTCGGACATGAGGCACACTACCATCAGTGGCTTTTTCTAGAAGCTTGGATGTCTGTAAAAGACCCAAACGCTGGGAATGATCACATAGTCATCCCTAAAGTCTACAAGTGCTTGGCACGCACTTAAAATTCTCTCCAGTCACGCGCATACAGCACGCACAATGTTTCAATTTTAAAAAGTTTTTAAATCGTGCGTAACATCAAGCGGTTTTTTCAACTGATGAAGGCTTAAGAGTTAGCCGAAACGTCTTGCTAAAATATACAAGTCAGTGACAAAACACGGCACTTTTCTCAATTACTTACATACATAGCGGAACATGATCCTGACTGTGCTTGCAACGGAGAATCAGCGATAAAACAGCATGTGTAAAGAACTGATCATGACATCCACCCAAGAGATGCGACGATCCTCAAACAACGAATTACAAGCTTTACCAAGAGACTCATTTTAGAGTCATGGCACTCAACAAAATGAATAAAAGAAAAGTCTTTCCACGCACTTATAGTCCTTTGTTTCCAGTTTAAAGTCTGCACATGTGTTCAAGCATGTAAAACACCAGCCAATAAAATTATAACGAACATAGTTACATTTTTCACCCTGATTAAAGTGGACGGATGAGACTGAAAATTCAGTAAACAAATAAAACTACAGATCAGATAATATCAGATCAGAGTTATATCAGTGACAGTCGGGATCAGTGATGTTGAAATCAGTGCTCAACATAACAAAAACAGTACTATGACTTATTACACGCTGATACAGTCAAAAAAAATTAATACGTCATTTACCTGATCTACTGCTTTCTTGTACCTTTCTAATGCCCTACACAACACAATGAAATTTAATTAAACTCCCCGTGCAGACTGCAGCTTTCATGCACTTAACATGCAAGTATAAAACAATATATTCACACATAGTCAAAACAGATAAATTATTTACAGTCGTACCTCTCCACACAGACACCTCTCTAATACGGTCAGTTTCCTATGTACCAACAAAATTCTCATACATTTCCTCAAAAAAACCTCTATGATATGGACCCTCTCTAAAACAGACAACAGACACTAAATCACGGCCCTCAGGGGAGCAAATTTGTACAAATTTAACCTCTTTATTACAGACACTCCCGGGACCAGGTGTCAATAATTTAGGTGCCGTAATTCGTTTTGTTCCAAAATTCGTATGTTCACCATGTAACTGAGAAGTACAATAACAAGACACTCACTTTTGGGCCAGACTTTAGTTACTAAACTTAACACTCTAAACTTTCAGTGGAGGCTTAAAAGTGATGTCATCATAGTGACCTCTCAAATACGGACACTTCGCTCTGTCCCTTTGGTGTCTGTATTAGAGAGGTTCGACTGTACTAAAAAAATGTAATAAAACTTAATCATAAATCTAATGATAATAATTTCACAATATTTTAATATTGTTAAAATTGATAAAATTAACTGTAATTATCATAATTACATTTGGCAGCTAGATAACATTCCAACTGGTGTAGATTAAATGAATATATTACTAGTTTAAAATATTACCTCTGTTTTTCCTCCTCAGTTAGTTCTGGTTTGGTGTATTCAGTTTGGTCCTAGGAAGAATACATCCAATGATAGCCACTATGCATTATAGAATCATAAGTTTCGATAATGAAAGTATTTCCTTCTTAAGTTATTCATAGATTTAAAAGAATAAAAGAATATCCAGCTTGTTACAACTTGTATTCAATGTACTAACATGACTTGCAAAAAAAAAATTGGACAAAAAAAGCATCCAAAATTTTTAAGAGTCCAAAATTTTAAGCACCCAAACTATTTACGTACAGCACAGTGTAAAACTTTAAATTAGCTCCAAAGCTCTCAGTTTCCTTTATGCGGGGCTTTATGGAGTAAACTCTAGTTGAGACATTGCTTGGCATATGTAACACCTTGATAGAATTTGTGTTATTTTCTTGCTGGTATATTCATAAAACCTTGAGGGTGCAATAAAACTACAATCTCTTGATGATGTTTCAATCTAACTCGTGTTTTGTAGGCATAGATTTACTTTAGCTATGTTTGAGCAAACTGTCCGAAATTTTTGTCCGAAATTTTTGTCCCAAATCTGTTCAAAATCAGATAAATGTGCCCAAAAATGAAACAGCTGAAATAAAACATGCGAAATTTTAACGCCCGAAATTTTTTACAAGTAAATTTATGTACTTTAGTCTTTTCAATGAGCATTCAAGCATAAGCACACAAAAAGGAAATCATTCACTTTTCTTATGCATGTGATTTTGCTTGTGCTTTGTACACGTAAACTGGAAAAACGTTTAAAAGCACAAGTAGTCTCGTGACTCATCTAAAAACCTGTTTTTACATAATAGGCAAGGATCACCTCCTTAAAGCACAATGTTTATCAAAATTTAAAGACATTGGATATGTCACCTTGTGCTGCCTTACACTTTTGTGTTGTACCCTGTAGAGCAACCTGAAAAATCTCTTGCTACCAAACTAATGGGCCTCCTACATTTCTTTAGGGGTCACAGTACCTCAGAAGCTGTTTTGTGTCCTAATCCAAACTCTGCCAAGTTTTCTTGATATTTTTTCTCCAAATTTGATTGCTGCCTACTGTGTTCACTATCCCATTGGTCCTGAATTAAAAAAGTAGGTTATGAAAAAAGCACACGCTTATCGAAATATGTCACATAACAACAGACTCAAGAAAGATAAAGAAGACGTAAAATAATAAGGGGATGATCTGACTATTTTGTGGAACAATCTGACAATACATTTGAACAATCTGACTTGGAAAGACCTGACCATGGAATGATCAGACTGTTTCTCTTCAAATTTCTCTCAAAATCTCCCATATGGTGGTAACTTCCTCATCCAAATAGGCATTAATTTAATTTTTCCACTCAACCCCATTTAGCTCATCAGCTGGTCAAATGTCCAGAGCATGCCTGGCAAATGATGTCAGGGTCTCTATATTTTATCACTCTAATCAAGCAAAACCCTTTAATAGCATTCCGACAAGTACAATGTAGCTTGTCTTTTTTAGATCTGGAAGGAGTGCGCCTAAATTCTAGATCACATGACTTAAAGATAACCCACACTTAACAAGCTATTGTTACAATATGGACTGTTTGCGATTGCAACCCCTGCATTTATTACATGGCTAGCTGCAGGAGAAGGCATCCTGCACAGTGATTGGCTGTATGAGCTGGCAAGATGGCGCTATATCTTGCCTGCTTGGGATTACATACTGCATCCTGCAAGAAAACTTTTGGATTTTCAGTGTTCCTTTAGTTTATCTCATTTAAGAAATCCTTTATCAGAGGTTGAAATGTTCCCAGACTGTTTACATAAGTCTAGTAACAGGCAGAATATTTTTTCACCTGTCTCCACCAACATCCAACTTGAACAATATTATTTTTTAATGTTCAAGAATGCCAAGTGGCTAGTTTCATAAGCATTGCTTGCTTCATGTGAGCAGACATTCCCTATGCACATCAACTCACAGCCTGAGATGAATTTGTTTCTGCTTGTTTTATCAAACTCTTTGCAGTAAGAACATAGAACACATTTCTCATTGAACTTGAAGACCGTACATCATTACATTTCATCAGCGGTGTTTCAAAATTCTCTTTACATGTACTTGTTCAACTTCCACTTCTTTAGCACATTGTTTATGCGAAATGAAATACTGAAGTCATTAATGCTTGATCAGCGAAGAAACGCAGAAGAATAAAGCAAGTCACATTTGCTGTCTTTGTCATGCGCACTGCAAATATTACATCATCTTGCTTTTATTGAGTAGAGTCTGGTAACTGACATACAAGAACTGCACAAGTGAGCACGACTGCAGGTGGACAACAGATGAAAATATTATTCAAATCGATAAATTCTGAATTACTAAGGATTTTCTTGCCTGTCGCCTGCGACAGGCACCAGTATTTTTACCTGTTACTTCCCAAAATTACCTGAAATCGACAGGTAGACAGGCAACATTTCAACCCCTGTTTATTGACCTAGCTTGTTCAGTCGAGATGGCTAAGCATAAGCCTCGTTCATTTTTTTTTCTTTTTTATGGACCCCAACACTGTCTCTGATCTATAAATTTATATGTAAAAAAGAACTTGGCCAATATCCAGCCATCTTGACCTGAAGCTTGGTCAATAACCCATATATATATACCTTGAGATGACAGGTCAGCTCTTTCAGTTCAACATTTTTCCTTTTCCTTGCATCTTCTAGCACTTTGCGTGAAAATGCTTTCTCCTGTTCTCTGATCTAGAAATACAAAAAGAAATTTAGAAACACTTGACCTATTGTCGTGGAGGGCCTAGCGACCACTCCACAAGACTATAGGCTTAGTGACCACTCCTGTGGAGCATGTGCACAAAGCAAGAATCTTTTCCTCCATGTCAAATCAGTCATCGTGTAAGTGAATAAAGAAAATCGTGTTCGCAACACCTATAGGCAAGTAACAATATTCCTGGAGCAAGGACTACCATATGAACAGGTCAGGGATGCTTGTCATCCCGCTTAGGGGTATAAATCAAGGATTCTGGTCTCACTCATAACAAAACACCACTATTTTTAGCTACCAAAGTATCTTTTAGGGTGCACATGAAGAATAATAATAAAAAAACACACTCTCTTCCATTTTTAGGCTGTTTTAGGCTGTTTTACGCTGTTTTACGCTGTTTTACGCTGTTTTACGCTGTTTTACGCTGTTTTACGCTGTTTTACGCTGTTTTAGGCTGTTTTAGGCTGTTTAAGTCTGATCTACTAGCAAGGCTCCCTTTTTAAATATAGTAGCTGGTAATCGAGGGTGTCTGGAAAACCCGAATAGCAAATAGCAAATAGTCACGAATAGCGAATAATCCTGAATAGTGCGAATAGTTTCAAATAGTGTGAACAGTGGCGAACATTCGCGAAAAGTGGTGAATAGTGATGAATAGTCGTCAATAGTCACTGCTTTAGATCTAATATCCTGCGTTAATTAATTATCCAAATAAGCAACAGAATTTCAGTGAATTTATTACCTTTTCTTCTCCGGACTCAGGCTTGGGCTGTCCATCGCCAATATTACAAAAACAGAAAACACAAAGATAACCTAATAAAGACACATTTACGCTTTTGCCGTGGTTAAAACAGAAGAAATTACGTTTAGAAACACCTTTTGTCCTGATAAGCATTCTGTGCTTTTTAGAGAGAAAATCCCATCCTACGTTGCTGCGAGGTTGTCTGTGAGATACTGGGTATACCCTATTTGCTATGATTTGCCACAATTCGAGACTGTTCACCACTATTCGAGACTATTCGCACTATTCGTACTATTCACTATTCAGGACTATTCACTGTTCGCTATTCATGACTTTTTCCAGACACCTGGTAATCGATCCTATTCCATTTTAAGTGGTACCTTTTAGGAGTCAAATAAAGTTCTAACCACACCCAGATCGATCTCCTTTTGAGGTTTAATTTAATTTTTTTTGATGAGCATCCCAGACATTTTCATATAGAAGTCCCCCCTGGACAATATTATGTCTGTAGGAATACATCCATTGAGAACTTTGAAACATTGGTCACATGAAATGACTAAATTTACTAATGATTATCACCATCAAATGTTATCAAATTAAGTCCTTCTCTGCGATCGTTTCAAGCACAAATTGCTAGAAAGCTGACCACAGTTGTGACGCATTTAATTTCTGTCTGTCAATCTTACACATACCTGTTTGAGACGAAGTTTCTTCCTTCTTTCCTTCTCACTTTGGAGTATGATGGCCTAAAAAGTGATAGGGCAGTGTGTTTACACCACAGAATGCCAGTAAACTAAGAAAAGGAACTTAGACCTGACAAACTATGAGCTTGTATAAGTTTTGCACCTTGCATAAACCCCAGTGACATGCATATGATTGATATGATTAGAGCCATGTACAAACCTCTTCATTGGGACTTGGCTTCAAAAGCTCTCTGCCTTTATTCCCTTGCTTCTTCATGTCGCTCTAAGAGAAAACTGCGCCCAAGAGATATAAACAATGATTTGATCATGTATTCGATAAAATACGCTACCCTGTAGCTCATCAATATTGGCAAAACTACATGTCCCAATCTTTCCCAAAACAAAAACAACTGCGACAGGTACAAGCGAAATAAACTCTTCTAGCACACAAAGGAAGCTACAAAACAGTCAGTCGTGTGAATGTTTAACAACTTTGAAACACATGCCTGACAGTGGTCAATTTTGACCAGTTTTGAAACGCACTGTGCTGTAAATTTCGTTAATCGCGGACAACTCGGCTTCCCGCGCCATTTTGATTTCTTCGCTGGTAGCGAGTCTCTGTAGCTGTTTTTATTGGCCGTGATTACTGGGACGGGTCACATATATTGCGCAACATCACCAGAATCTTCCTTTTCAATTCGTGACTTTCACTGAGTCTAGGGATTCTTCAGAGATCACGAAAGTAATCTTCATCCATCGATATCATGATTATCTACAAGGACATCATAAGCGGTAAGATTCTTACCTTAGCTCTTTGTGATCGTTTCTAGAAAGTTATTTTGTTGGGATTTTGTCTGTAAAGACGGTATTTGTGCCTAGGATATTTTTTGTCAAATATGTAGTTACATTCAAACCAATGATATTATGTATTGATCCTCTCGATTCGTCAATAATATCAAAGATCTTGGTTGGTTGTGGGTGTTCAAAGTCATACTTTTACCTTCTTCTGAAATATATGCTAGCAATGAGTTGTAAATAGTCGTACAAGTTTAAGGAAATCTGACGATCGCACGATCTTCCATACATTAAACCTCTTTATACTTCAGAGCTACAACATTTTGTTCATAAAGTGTAAAATCCCCAATGTAATGTCTCTCATACATTGGTAAAGGACTTTGGCGGGATTCCATGCTACCAAAAATTACAAACATTGACTTTAAGTGGCTGATTGTCAATGTTCAATAACCTGTTTTCCTCAGAAATTACCAGTGAAAACTCGCAAATTTAGTGGGCAAAGGAAGTGAATCAAAGGAAGTTATATCGCAATCTAAGGGTGCCTTCCTTTGGGATGATTTGGATCATGATCAATGATCAAAGATCGCTCGCATCATGGTGCATCAAATGAACCTATAGATCCACTCTGATCAAGGATTCATCGGTTCCTTTTATATACAGTTTACCATGATCCAACTGACCTTAGATCACTGATCTTGGCCCAGATCATCTTAATGCAAGGCATCCTAAGCTGTGATACACAGCACACTTGTTCAATTTGGTCAAAAAACTGTGAACACTTTGATTTTGATTTTGACATGTCAACTGTCAACATCAAGAACATTTGTAAGTCATTCAGCAAGAAAGTAGCAGTCTTGAAATGGATAAAGCTTTTACCGAAACCAATCTTAGAAACTATTTACTATAAAACAATCATCCCCAGTGTTTTGTATGGTGTTGTAGTCTGGGGGTCTTGTTCTTCAGCCTTGATAGATGATATCGATCAAATTCATTTAACAGCAACGAGAATTATTTACAATCTACCCCATAACATCCACAGTGCTAGTGTTGACATCATGAATGCTCCACACTGGAACTCTATTGTTTCATTTTACATTAAAGTGCACCTAATCCCAAAAATTTTTTTCACTAAAACGAATCTACTTGTTATTTGAAGCATTTGGGCGAAAAAATTTTTGAATTTGGTTGAATCCTCGATTTTCTACGTCCTTTCAAAGTTGTGCTTGAAGTGTTGCACAACATTTTAGGAAGTCTGGGGCGGTGGTTGCTGATGACATCTACCCAGGAACCAAACACTATGGCACCTCAGTCAGCTCTCTGTATTTGCTCAAGAAAATGTAAAACAAAACTGATTGTTCCAATATATTTTGGGACTAAAACAGCCAAGTTTTGTTTCAGAATCATTTCTTTTTTGTCTCTGGAGTCAGAGTTAAGTTTTGATTCGGAAGAATCCGAAATAAACTTCAATCGAGCATGTTCGACAACTGTGAACTCACTGCTTAGAGCTTTGAGAGCAATTTGCAATATTTCAAGCGACGATGGGGAAGACTTCTTTGCAGACAAGCTCCTTGTATGTTAGAAATGGAAAGCTAGATATGAAGTGGAGGAGCAGGCAAACAAAAAGCAGTAAAGAAAACTCAAGGACTGCTTTGGATGGTAATTTCGTCACCTAAACACAAGATTCCCACACGTGTTTATAGCCCGTTTACATTTGTCCTTAGTGAGAATGTATTTTGTCAAGGTATGGTTGGTCTATTAAATCCATTTTGTGTTTTACTTTCTGGAATGCTTCATGTTTATAAGAGCTACGTAAGTATTGCAGTTTTCGAGACTTGATGACCTCCAAAACACTGGCTTCGATCGATTGAAAATCATAGAATTGTTTGGACCTGTATTTTTGAAGCTTCAGGAGGCAAAGGCGGAAGGAAACATTTCATACAATTTACCGATTTCACAATGTCACACGTTTTAAGTCATATCTCCAAATAACAAATGTAAATTTTTCTCAAAGTTTGCAGTGAAATTCATCAGATAAGTTTGCAGTGAAATTCGCTTAGGGATGTGTTCCCTAAGCGGTCCGCAGATAATGTTACGTGGTCATATTTTCGACACTATTGCACAGAATGTTTGTCACACTGCTGATTTCCAAACCTTCGAAAAACTCTGAGTCTAACAGTTTTGTTATCATGTAATTCTTAAGGATTAATCTTCGACTTTTATCTAAATCGAAAGAGAAATAAGTGTTGGTTGGCGGTGTACAGTTGTGACCTACATTTACATATCAGTACATCGGTCGTAACGCTTCTTGATTGATCGCACAACTTTGCCGACTATGTTATAAATACTGCAGGACTGGAAGATATAGGTTGTCGGTGGTACTTCTACAAATTGCTGGTTGGCTCTAAGCAGAAAATTTTGAAAAGAGTGTTTGAAAGTCTGCGGAACAAATTCCAGTGAGAGTTCTTCAATGGTTCTCACGGACTCAGTTCGCTTGTTTCGGTTCAACAAAATCCACCTTTTATGTCTTTATTGTAGCATTGACCGCTCATCGCCAGTAAATTGTACAGTATATCTTTCTTTATATCTGGGATACTGCTGCAACAACTGATAGCACTTCTGGAAGGCATTTCTGAGCACTTTTCGAATGTGTACTGCACCATCCTGAAGGAAATGAGACGCAAGATATTCAACCTTCCTGGGTAGACATCACAACAGCCACTGGGTCCATTCTCCTCAAACTTGGTCACAAAACAAAATGGCGGTGTTTTAGAGCTATTTTTGAGATTTCGTCGGGGCAGAGAAAATCAAGAATTTAACCGAATCCAAAAATATTTTTGCAGAAGTATTTCAAATAACAAGTAGATTCGTTTTGGCAAAAAAAAAAAATTGGGGAGTTAGGTGCACTTTAAGAGACTTTTAGTTATCGCGTGCAATATTTATCATGGAAGTAGTAGCGAACCCCTAAATGACTTAATAATGAAACCTGAGACTACTTATAATTTTAGAAAGTCCTTAAATGTTGAGGTTCATAGACCAAGAACAGAAGTGGGAAGATCTTCCTTTAAACATACATGTAGAGCTGCACTATCCTGGAACCTCCTTCCTGATGACATCAAGAACTGTTCAAACCTGACCTCTTTCAAGAGAAAACTTAGGGAAAATAAGAGTATTCTAAAATCTATCAGTTTTACTAAAGCTTCCTGCAGCATTTCCAACAAATCTTTCGACTTTAAATATTTTGAATATTTTGAATATTTTAAATGTTGACTTTTGAATATTTATCTATTTCAGCTATCATTATTTTTTCATCCATTATCATTTAATATTTAAGTGTATATTAATTAATCATTTTAGATAGTGTAGGTCCACATCAGGACTTATTGTCTTGCCAGTTCCCCAACCTGCTTTGCCAAATAAATTATGTATGTATGTATGTTTGTATGTATATGTAAGGGATTAGAATAGGCGACGCAAATAAAGGATACTAATGGTACTTGCTGAAACTGCATTTTACAAAAAGATTAATTCTTTTGTTGAAGACGCTAATTTATAAATATGATAGTCTGGAGGACTGAGTCATTTCGTAAACCATGTATTAAACAAAGTCGAGAAAAACACATTCAGGGTTCAGTGAATATCGAAGTATACTCCTTCGATCGAACAATAATTACTAATAATTGTCCTGTTCTTTACTGCAGCGTTTTCATAAAATCTGCTGAAAACAGATAGAAAATATATGTTTCGCAAAAATAAATTGAAGCCTTTGAAAATCTTTAAGTATTGTTCGGTCTGGTCGCCTCTATCATTTCGCCGCTCAATGTCAAAAGAAGTTGTTTTCAGTACACCAGTGTGCTGGTACAAACATCTTTACCCAGTACGTACTTTCAAGACGACTGAGCTCCTAAAGAAGTAAACTGAGGTTCAAATAAGAATTGATATCAGTAATTGTTGTTAACGCAACTTACCTTCTTTCGAGAGCGAAATTGTGTGCAAGAATCGGCTTTCGTGTGTGATTCAAAGAGTTGCACTGAAACAATACATAATTCTGCCACCAACTGAATAAAAAGCCCCAGGGCCGGGTGTTTAAGTGGAAAACACTACGAAGCTAAAATATTCAGCCTTTCTTACACCGCACGTTTGATTAATAGTTGTAGTCGAATATTCGCTGGTGTGATAATCAATTATTAAATTGTCAATATTAACGAAAATGTTCAAGTTGCTTACTCGGCCCTGCCAAATGTTTTTAATATTTCTATATTTGTGCGCAAATTAAAACAACCATTTTTGACATGTCTTTCGTAAATGGCAGTCTTTTTTTTGTCATTTAAGACGACCTCACATAGAAGTAACTGAAATGATTGTTTTGACATTTTCTAGAAGGTAGTTAAATTCAACTGATGACCAGCTTTATTTCCGAAAGCTATAAATCCACTGACTCGATCTTTCCTAATATATCGATCAGGGATCCAATTAATATCCCTCCCAAAATCATTAAAAATTCATCAAGTTACAACTAAATTCAAGTTTCGGTTGCGAATGTGTATAAAATAATCGAGTACGTGTTTCATCGCATTTTCGAATACCTAGATATTTGTCAAAAATACCCCGCCGCGGCTGGGTTGCATTTTCAATTACCTCCTCATCAGATTTTAAAGACCATAAGGAGAGGATGAAACACTGTCTCGAGTGTTTGAGATGTTACTCCAAAGGAGCGTTTTATCATGAGGGAAACTCGTTTAATATTTATTATTTTTATAAATTAAAGACTGTATATTGTGTTTGCAAATTAACATCAGCTGAGTAAAATTGGTGGAGAATTAATTCAAGGTTTTGGTTCGGTCATTAATTCATTTAAAAGCATTTCAAAAAATATATAGTTTGTTTCCAGCAGTTAAACATAATGTCACATATTGCCTTGAACGTTTAATTCGGGCGGAATCCATTTGAAGATCTGAGACTATTCCGGACAAGACAGAGCCCCAGGGCCTGGTAACGAA